TCCTCCGAATTTTATATCCAATGATCAAGATTATTTGTGGCCACCTTGCACTAGAGATAAACGGTCTCGTATATTTTTCCTTAATTTACATTCGACAAAAAAAAGCACATCATAGCATATCCCACGTGGTACAGTTTTGTTGCATCCACTGTCATTTGATTGACAATAAAAGTGCATGTGCATACAGATATCCTGGCAATCTCCACCATCCATTTTCATTGATTGACTTTGCCTGTTGTAAAGTATATACAACCATCATCGTATGCATACTTTCCAATATTTCCCTTTTGGTGAACTATGCTCCTATAAGAGCATATTGTCAATTTACTCCACCAAGTGAAACTGAAAAAGCTACCTAGAGTATTTTGGGGGGATTTTTTGGATCTAAAGTATTGGGATCCTCCTAAGAATCACTAGAGATCAGTGATTTAAAAAACCGATTGGTGATCCGGATTGGGTATAGATCGGTGAATTGACAATTCAGATCGCCGTTTTACTGTATGAAAAAAATAGTGACCTAGTGAAAAAACAGGTGCAAAAACAGTGAACCAACCAAAAACCGAGCCGGATCTATTAATCAGTATTTTTATTGTAGCAAAACGCCGTTTTACCTTAGCAAATCTCCAGTTCTCTTCTAGACTCGAATGATTTCATATATTTTGACAAAATCAACACGAGGTGATCGATTCCATAGTTGGACCGGGCAATTCCGGGCCAACCCGACATTTTTTAAATTACTGATAGAAATTATTAGAAGAAAAAAATAAATTTTGAGTTCTTTAAGTATCCAAAAGTTCAATACTCTGTATTCAATTTTAGGACGTTATTATTTTCTAGATCAGAGAGGGTACATTTAGTTTTTTTTTTTCATTATATACCAAAATTCTAGGTCTCAAAATTACTCCTACATCAAAATTTACATGAGGGACTGAGCAGCCATGTGCTCTTGTAGGAGCATGAAATATTTTAAACCAAAAAAAAATGTATTCCTTTGCTCAAAATTCCTAGCATCATCATCTTGTTTCCCTTCTTTTCCATGTGTAGCACTTTGAATTAAAGACTTTTAAAATTACTAAAGTTTATGGAATCTCATGGGCCAATCAATGTATAGGTCATTTGTGAAAATGAATTGTATATTATGAGACAGGAAATTATAGCGAGGTCATTTACCTTTAATATAAGATGGTTACATTAATATTGATTATTGGATATGAAATTGGATGGCTGCAATTATCACATTGATTAAGTTCAAACTTAAAAAAAAAAAATTTTGGACTTTGTGACACATCCAAGCTATCAAATTTCACATCAAATGGTTGAAAAGAATTGTGACCACCGTGTATCAAAAGTAAAATAATTTCATTGTATACAATCTTGAAATTATTATTTAATTTTTGGCATATAAGAGTCAATTTTTTTTAACCATTAGATACGAAATCTAACATATTAAACTCTATTGTAGCTTTCGACAAAATCTGTCTCGATCTTTGTACTCAATTAGTGACACATCACCGCCCATCCCATTTCACATCAACCAATGAATTTTGTTTGTTTGGATAGCAAATTTAATGAATTTCCCATTAACCACTTGAACTTATTTTGTGGCCCAAAAAAGCACACGACATGCCTCTATAGAGAAGCAAACGCAATCTTCGCCTTTATTCCCAAACCAAATAAATCAAATGGAACTATCAAAGTTAAAGGAGAGAGAGATAGCATATTAAAAATAAAATAAATTTTTTTGAGATAGATACAAATAGGTGGACCATTTAAAAACAATTAAAACTAACAATCCAAATATTTTTTAATAGAATTATTATTTCTAATATTTAAAATTTAGTTATTTTTTCATATCCATGTTAAAGATTTCATGTTTTTAATAATTATGTCCAAAAATCCATCTCAAAAATAAATTTTTAATAGGTAACTCATTTCTATATATACTTATAGAAACTTGCGTCAAAAAAAAAGAAAAAAAAGAGAGAAGAGTAATTATTCTCAGTATTTACTAAGCCTAATAATATTTAATGATAGCCAAATGGTCAATTTAATAAGATGCGTGTTTATTTAAAAAACGTGCATACGACTAAGTTTTATACATGGATAGAACGAATGTCTTGGCTTGTTGTGGTGGCCACCAAACCCTAGTACCAGCTGGCATCAGATTCGCATCTCTTACTAAACTCAAATCGAAACCAATGAATGATGCCAAAAGATTTAATGCTTTTGCGGGAGCATAATGGTCCATCTACTCCCTCAGCGGTAATCCAGTTTAAAAGCATTCTTAGTACCCCAAAATTTGGAGATATAATCTTTTTAATTAACCTTTGCTCTATGCGCAATAAAGCGAAATTGAAAGTGTATTCTTTATTGGCTTGAAAAAATAGTGCCTAAAGATTGAATAAAAACTATATAATTTTAAAAAGTGAGATCTTGTTTAAACCTAAATTGAGATTTTTTATTTCGAATATATCCATCTAGTTAATTCACATTGTTTCTAAACTCTTTCGTATCAAAGAACGAGTAATTATCCTATAGTATCGTCTTCCATTTATGTGTGTAGGACTCTAAAAGATCATCATTAAATTTAACATGGATCCTTAAAAAATTTATTACATAGATATGATATTTGATTTGTTTAAAGATTTGTGCTAAATTTAATTGTGATCCTTTGAGGTCCTACACACATGAGTGTGTAAGAGGGTCCTATATAATCATTCCTCTAAAAAAAAATAAAAAAAAATTATATGATATGCTCCCGCGCGACTATAGTATACTCGCCCGATAATGATATGCATGGCCGCACCAAAAGTACGTCATTTAACGCGCTAATACGGCGGGCCCACATGACCACATGGCGCACCGACTAGACGTGCGCGTCACTCCCTAAGCCGATCCGCTTCCTTCCCTCACGGCAAAGATGGGGGCGGCCCCACCTGCTCGGCTAGGCTTGGCTTGGCGGCTCCAGACCTGAGCTTCGTCTAACTCTTACGGTCTTACCCAAATTGGAGCTCGGGTAGATGCTAAACGGGCGATATTAGTTATGGGAAATTGGGAATCAATCCGGACCTGTGTAGTAAAAATCGAACCGGCGTCAGAAACTGGCCAACAGTTGGGTTTGAGTTACTCGTAAACTAGCCGGTTCAACCGGCCTAACCGGGCAAGTCTTGATTAATTTTAAAAGTATTAAAAAAATTAGATAAAGCGCATCTAAATAAAGTTAAAAAGCAGTGAAAAATATGTGTGCTCAAGGGTGTTTTTAATATTTTTTTCTAAAAATATGATAAAATAGAAAAAATAAGTATTTATATCCAAAACACTTTCTAATATTTGCCAAAAATGATAAAAAAAATTAAAGAACACATTACAAACATATATGTTTTTTTTGGATTATATATATTTAATATTTTTAAAATGAAAAAGTATAGAATGAGACCTTTCATCTTTTGTACAAGGTGGTCACAATTATTAATCTTTACCATTGGATGTGAAATCGAGAGGCTGCATTTATTCCATTGACCAAGCTCAAACTTCAAAATAATTTTTTTCAAACTTTATAACACCCAAGCTATCAAATTTCATATCGGATGGTTGCAAGTAATTGTGACCACTTTGTATCAATGATAAATAGTCTTATAGTGTATATTCTTTTTTAAAATACTTGGCCGAACCACCAAAACTGGCCAAAACCAGATAAACTAGTACCCCGTTCTAGTTTTACTAGCCGGTTCCCAGTTGGACTGGCCGAATTTGTAAGCACTAGTCGAGACTGAATTGGTTTTGAGATGATATGGGTCTCAACCCAGTTCCCAGAAAACATTCCTTTTTACGTATTTTTTTACATTTTTTTCTAGACTTATGTAATGTTTTATTAGGTCCCCTTAAATCTTCATCCCTTGAGCAGTTATTTAAATTTTTATTTTTTTATGTATTATTAATATTTTTTGGATTACTGATTTAAATTTATTTAAATCACTAATCCAACATCCCGAAAAGCTCTTTTTTTTTTTTTGCTTTTTTTTTTACCATGTGGAATAGATCCACCGATCCAACAATAAAAGTAAAAAAATAGAGAGACACTTCAAAAAAACCTTTTGTTTTTAGGGTCATACCCTCAATAATGGCATACTCTCCATTTATTTTCTCACTGTTTCTATCCATGTTTTTTTGGGCTTACTCATTGACGGTCAGGCCACTTAAGTCTACTTTATTTAATCTTACCGTCTATTGGTGCCGCACCTAAATGTTTTAGAACGTGGATTGATGATTGTTGTTGAAAAAAATATTAAAAATTTTAAAAACATGGAGAGAGATATAACAAATGTATATTTACAATGGGTGGGATGTACAAAGCCACACTATAGGAACTTATTGTTCACTTAGTAAGTGAGGTGTTTGATCAACCATTGATCTTAAGTTAAAAAAATATATATATAATTCTAAAAATACGATAAATATTACAAAAAAAAATTCTCAAATTTGCTAGAGCCATATAACCAATCAAAATCAACAAGCGTGACGGACCAAAAATTGGTTAAATATTAATTTTACGTGATTTAGATTCAAATTCAATTTTTTACTTGGAATCATACCACGATACCTACCAATGATACTGGTAGCATAGAGCGATTGACAGTAGCAAGCGTGCAAGGCAAAAGATAAAGAGCGCGACGTGAAAGTGAAAGTGAAAGAGGGAAGGCGTAAAAAGCGAGCCTGCCTACCCACTAGCTCGAGTAAGCCAGCCGCCCCTAGGAAACGGTGACGGCGTAGCTTTCCGTTACTCATCTCACCAAACGGTAACGGTGAGCGCAGATGGCGTGCATTTGGTCTCATACTTTCCGCACCGAATCACTCACTTCTTTTATTTCTTTATATTATTATTAATTCCCATTTTTCATCTCACCAAATTCAATTAATTATCTATTAACCTTTGTAATTACTTTATTAATCTCAAATGGTAATTACCCAAGTTTTTATAAACAGCGGAAATTGGAGCGGTCAACTCAACCAAGCCTCTTGTCCTTAAAGCCTTCACGCTCCCCTTCTCTCTACAGTCTCTGGAAACCTAGATAGAGAGAGAAAGCACCATGGCCAGGCTCCTGTATTTCTCTCTCCTCCTCATCCTCATGCTCTCTCTCCTGTTTTCTGGCAGCGCCATGGCCGGAATCCCGATTTCCGACCACTTTCTCGACTGGGTTCCGGCTAAACAGTCGTGCGAGGGATCTATAGGAGAATGCCTCTCTGGTGAAGAATTCGCCATGGATTCAGAGATCAACAGAAGGATCCTTGCGACGGACCAGTATATAAGCTACAACGCCTTGAAGAAAAACATTGTTCCTTGTTCTAAAAAGGGCCAGTCCTATTACAATTGCAGAGCTGGAGGTCAAGCTAACCCTTACAGTAGGGGATGCAGCGCCATTACCAGATGTGCTCGTGATACGTCTTGAAATCTGAGTACTTTCTCTCTCTTGATCGATTTCTTGCTCTCTCTCAGTTTTCTGTCTTTCTCTTTCTAGATTTGGGGGTTTCTGCGCTGGACCTTTCGTTTGGATCAAACTTTGAAGTAAGTGTTTGTTTTTTTATTGCTGGAGGGTGGTTATATCCAATCTCTTGTGTAAACATTCATTGTTTCACATATAATTTTATTTTTCATTGCCATTACGCATGTCTTGAAAATAAGCTCTTTCTCTCTAGAGGTTTTGGGCCATTGATCTTACTCTGGTTTTGAGAGATTTGATATGTGGAGCATGGAATTATCTTGAATTCCTGCAAAAATAATGTTTGTATGATATTTCCAGGTTAAAAAAAATCAGAAAATTTGCGATTTCTGAAAAAAAAAATGTTTGTATGATATTTCCAGGTTAAAAAAGAATCAGAAAAATTGAGAATGTATTTATTAGAATCGATCTGCTTTTGTGCAATGCTTCTATAAATCATCTGAGGAAATTGGGAAATATGATATCTTTTCGTGATTTTAATTACATTTAGCAGTTGAGTCTGAAAATTTTGGGGAGAAATTGAGAGGGAAAATGCCATGTAATTCGAAAATCGGGGGTTCGGAAATTTTGGAGGATTTCACCGGATAGGTTTCGGTTTGGGTTTGGGTTTGGGGTCTGTTTACAAATCAATGTTTTCTGTCAATTTCGGTAAATTTCCGCACAAATCAATCTTTTCTGTCAATTTCGGTGACATTTCCGCCAAAATATTTGGAGTTTGATTTTCCATTCGTTTTAATAGGATTATATTGGCTCCTCAAATATTAAGTCGGAAAATTTTGGGGCTGAAATTCGACCTCTATTCAACGGAAACATCGTCCAAAGTTTCGAAATTCGGCCATTTATGTTTTTTCTAAATTAAATTGGAGGATTCATAATTTATTTTATTTTTGAAAACCCATACCTTCATCTTAAATCCTAGCCACACAATTCAGATGTAATGAAAGTAGAGCCGTCCACTAAACTAAATAATTAACTTCTGATTTTATAGCTTCTTAAAATGAATGAATTATTGGGTATATATTATATAAGTTTGGGCCATGGCATCAAATATTAACTCGATCACGCTTTGATTTATCGAGTTAGGTACACCAAATGCCGAGTCGAGTGGCTAAGAAGTGGTAGCAGTTTTATTTCTCGGTTATTGAAGAAGTGTTGTGAACCTGCAAATAATTTGGGACCTCGCAATCAATTCTCTCATTAATTGCCTCAACGACTGTTGACTAAACATCCAATTTATAGTTAGTATGGTATTTGACCCTTTCCCCAAAGAATCACGTGACGGTAGGAAATGAAATCAGATCGAGAGGGAGAGAGAGTATAGATCATCATCATTCATTGTTAAAGCGTGTTTTTTCAATTAATTGCAGTCAATTTTACGAATTTTAGTTTGTCATTCTACGCTATTGAAGATCATGCCGTCCGTATTACTCTATTAAAGATCATGCCGGCCGTATCAATGAGGCCAAAAGTCCCCATCTAATGAAACATGAGAGAGAGAGAGGAGGAAGGCCGCTTCACATAAAGAGAAAACGGCAGTACAAAGAAACTCATCAAGTTAAACGGTAGTACAAAGAAACTCATCAAGTTAGAGAAAGTACTTGCTATTAATGATACTAGCTAGGAATCGAGAGAGAACCCTGGTTTCATCAATGGAAATTTTTGTAAAGAACTCTAATTCTGTATCGTATTTTATGGTAGATTCTCTTTTAAGTGGCATAAAAAAAATATCTAAAGATTTTATTTCTCTTTCATTTTCGTTTATTCGTTTTTTATCATCATTTATTCACTTTTGATCATAAAAGTTAGTTTTAATAAATTTTTTATATTATTTTAACTTAATATGAGAGAGATAGGAGCTCTTTTTTTAGTTGAAATGGTATAAAAAAGTTTGTTAAGGTCAATTTTTATAGTAAAAAGCGAATAAATGAGGTGGTACGGTAAAATCTTTAGAGATTTTTTTTATACAATTTGAAAAAAAAATGAAAAAAAACCTCCATATCATAAAATAAGATGGAGAATTAAGGTTATGTAAGAAATTTTCCCAATCATCAATTTAAAGAGAATATTTTCTATAAATAAATCTAGAAAGGATTTTAGAAGTAAATCGAGCATACGTAGGGAAAATACAAGTATGGATTTGCGATTAAGATGGAGAACTGCATGGTGTAAATGATAAAGGACACGGTTTTTGTACAGCCAACCCGTAATGTAAAAATATGAGCTTGGCAATAAATATAATAAATATATTTTTAAAATATAATTCGATCTTAATTTTTAAAAAATATATAATCTTTAACATGGAGATCATGAATATGAAAAATACTAATAATAATAAATATTAAAAATAATAATTATATTAAGATAACATTTGGATCATTAATTACAATTATGTTTAGATGGACTACTTAAAGATGGATTACAATTATGTTTAGATGGACTACTTAAAGATGGATGCTTTATACCTAAGGACCACATATTATGGAAAGGGTGTAGTTGGCATATGGATGCATTTGTTGGTGTAGAGGTAAGGTGCACTTCCAAATTTTATTATGGTATATAATTTGGTTGTAAAATGTTCTTAGGATTATCTCAAAATCTATTTTTATATCTAATTATAAAATTTTAAATTTAAAAAATGATTAAAGTTAAGTAAATTTATAAACACATAAAAATCTTGAAAATTGGCAGTGTAGGTAATATATTGTAAAATGCATTATTTTTTAGACTTAAAATCTTTTTATATTTCATGGTTGATGTCGAGATTATCAAAGGGGTTTGCAACATTAAAGCTACTTATTCCGATGGATTTTTTAGGTGCATCCGTAGTTCTACATTATAAGGTAGCATCCTTTATAAACTTTTTCCTTGTAGGATTACTGTCTACCCCGCGTGAAACAATTTTCCAATAATACATGGTATTAAAAGTAATAGTTGTTCTCACATTTTGTAGAACTCCATATGAGGGAAAACTTTTCTTGTGTTGGGCGTGAATCCAACGTCATAAGATTACGAAACATTTTGTAATTAAAAAAAAAAAATCCCTAATGTACCATGAAGTGATACCGCATCTTTTCTCGGTCCACATAAATTTATTAAAATTTCAAACAAATGTAAATTTTTTTAAAAAAATTCACAAAAACTCAATTTTTGGAAAAATAAAACATTACTATATTAAATCATTTTTGTAAAAGAATGTCTAAAAATTAGGTCAATCATTCACCTTCGACGATTTGTCAATTTGCAATCAGTATGTGTCCTTTTATAGCAGCAACAACGTTCTGATGTTGGTTTGTCGATTACTTACATTTTGAAGTTAGTCTCTGTGCTATGCTTTGAAACTTAAATTAATTAACAACTTTCTCCTTACACCAATTTTTCTAGATTTTCTGACCATCCATTTTGTTTTCCCCATGACTTTTTCCTCCATTTTTTTTTGCTTAAAACCGAATCAATACTAACTTTTTGGAATACTGTTTACAAATACGTCGCCTTTACACAAATTGCTACCATTTGTTTGAGATGTTTTGCAGAGAGAGGAACCTTGGTGGACCACAAATAATAATTTAGCAAATGGACAACCATTTATGGGGATATTGGATAGGTGCCGAAAGGCATTTAATTTATTTTACTTTTTTGTTGAGAGCAAATGTGAATATGGGTCACGACTTTTTGAAGGTCGGTGGTCCCCATCCTCACATATTTCAAACGGTTTACAGCTGCCATCTGAGCTTTTTCCTAAAAATGGCCACCCTTCTGCTCCCTTTCTCCTCATTCAAATCTCACTTGTACAACCAAACCACCCATAATTTATCATCACTCAATTGCACAGCCTCGAGTTTCAAGTTCTCTCTCTCACAGACACACACACACCTCACTGTCTCTCTCTCACACACACAACAAAAATCAAATCGAAAGATAGCTAGTGAATGAGCTAGATTCATCCCAACAAAACATTCCTTCAATGAGAATTTAAGTGACCACCAATAAATTACATTCGCTGAAGCAACAGAGGGAGAACAAGAGAACAATGACTGAGATAACAACCCCCTACAATTTTATGAGAACTCAAGCCTCTTTTGTCTGAGAATCTTTATTCTCCTTATAAGGGTATTCACAAGGGGTTATCCAGAGACCCCACAGTATCGTTAGATGAATAAATAGCAGCAAAGGAGATGAGTATACATTTGATGGATAAATGTTCCAGCAAACCTCCACCCCAGCAAATAGTATTAGACTGCAAGAAATAATGGGGATCAAATTGACATAACGAACTGGATGTGAGAGTCACACAATGAACTGGATGCGTGTGTGTGTGTGAGAAAGAGAGAGAGAGAGAGAGAGAGAGAGAGAGTATCACAGATTATAAAGATTACCGTATTATAATTGGGAATGATGTTTTCCACAGCATAAATGGCAAACTGTAGAAATACCTGAAAGTACTATCACAATTAATTGAATGGAAATGAAGGAACTCAAAAAAAAAAAATAATCACAAAATAGTGGCATAAAAAGAAACAGAATCCAATTTAATTATACCATGAATAGAATTGATAATGTAAAGATCGAGCACAAATGATGCCAATAAAATTCCCAACAAAGATTGTGGTAACAATATCTGAATCAGGAAAAAGGTAAAATAATTAATCCATTTGCTGGGAAAACCATAAACGAAGGAAACAAATGAACATCACTAATCAACTGTTTGCAGGTAAAGAGACCATGAACACTTAGGTACTTACGGTCATTGTTTAGAATCTTGGAGTGACTATTATTAGGGTCGAATCTCGAGTGTTTCATGGTAACGAACTTTGAAAGTAAGAGATGAGGAAGCCCTCCTTCATACCTATAAACAATCAAAGTATGATTATATGGTATACACTAGCACCAAACGTCCCCATTCCAAAATTTCAGCAAAAAACAAACTATATAACAACGCCATGGATAAGACATATTTTTCAGATTGACGCAAGTCACAACAAATGAAGTTTTGAGAAATATTGAATGATTGTGTAAATGGCAATAGTATCTACTGTCTAGCAACCATTTGAGTGTAATGGGAACCAGTCAAATTTCACAAAATCTCATGATAGCAAGATAACCATGGCACCATTTCAAATTACATGAAATAAAAGCTGCTCATGAAATGCTTACTTGCACCATTTATAATGAGCAAAGCAGGCAAGCAGAATGAGATGTACTACCAGCAAACTGATAGCAAACTTCTTCGAAGTAAATATTGCTTCTGGGACAAATTTGAAGTTCACAGACCTGAAACAAAGAAGCAAATACCTTGACAAAGGTTACACAGAGAACGTAAACTCACAGTACTAAAAAATCAGAGCATGCTCTTTTTCGATTTATAGAACTGGATGGATAGTCCCTAATCTTTATCATTAAACCAGAATTCATTAATCTGTCCATCCTGTTATATTAATATGTCATTATCATCATCATCATCATCATCATCAGAGCCTTATCCCAACTATTTGGGGTCGGCTTCTTCTTTTTTTTTTTTGAATAGGTTAACTCTATTAATCTAAAGAAGGTTAGGACAAAAGGAGAGGCGAAGTGAGGGGCTGAAACCCACAGACGAGTTTCAACCAAAAAATACGTTACCCACAGACTGGTGTCCAATACAAAAGCATAGCTGCAACAAAAAAATTGGGGATCAGCTATTATTACATTACTATGTATGCATTGATAAGTGATCCATCAATGGACCACTTTGGACCAATCAACATTAACCCTATTTTTGAACAAGCTAGGTCAGGAACTGTTCCAAAACATGTTTGTCTTTGTCCATTTTAGAATTCCCTGCTTGTTTGAAAAAGCTGCAAGTAGCTGCTAAGCCGACTAACCTCACAACAAAAAACACTTTGTTTCCTTTCGATCATGACTAATGCTAGCCAATAACACACCTACTTCGCCCATCCAGACTCTCCCTAACATTGATTCATTTCAGCAAAAAAATTTAATAGATTTACAAACTGTACTTCAAAGATAAACCAAGTATTGTCAAGTAAAAGATAAACAAATGAATATGAAATCATATACAATTAGTTAGAAGATACATCCTATGAGTCCAAACTCCAAACAAATGTCACAACATGCACAAAATACGCGAAGATATGGGTCAGCATCTACAGCTGCTTCCAATCATCCAAGGAACGACCAGTAAAAAAGCAAAACAATGAAAGCATACCAAAGACTAGTAAAAAAGCAAAACAATGAAAGCATTCCATGCAGGGTTTCCACATCCTTGCAACTTACCAAATCCATAAATTTCAACTACATAAAAAAACTTCATCAAATTCTAAGGAAAAAAAAAAAATGGCGTCAGAGTCCAAGTGTGCACCAGAAATGGATGAAAACACGCCCAAGGTCGAAAGCTCTTGATATGTAGGCAGTGGGGTTTACCAACAAAAAAGGCAATCCAAATAAGATCTGCAACAAAAGTAATTCTGAATATCTGTCAGTTCACAAATGAAGAGACTGAATACAAAGAAAGGCACCAAAAATAAGCCCGAATTTTCCAAAAAAGAGAACGATATGAAAATGTGGCAACTTAAACAGAAGAAACTCTACACTCAAGAAATCATTAAGAATGTAATAATATTATGCTTCAGTTTGCTAATTTTTTAGGACAATTAATTCGCCCTTAACCACATCCATTCAATCTATCATATGATCTCCCATTTAAAGATTACTGATGGCCAATGAGAAGAAATTCCTTCACCAATAGAATAAATGCAGTATAGGCAACATAAATTGCGTGTATCATAAATTAAATGGTCTTATGATCAGAACAAAAACCGGTCTGGTTCAAGGTTTTGCATTCCTCTACAACAATCAGCGCCTTTGCAAAAATAGTCAGGTTTGGATATGTTATTATCGTGAATGGGTATCTTATACTTGCTCACCAGGATAACTTAACTGATTATCAAATATCATTTTCTTGCTTTACTGAAAAACACAAAACTGGATGAGGTGAACACCTAGTATGCACCACTTTAGCTTTTCCCTATATTCTATTATTTTAATTAGTTAACGCCTTTTGAAGTCTAGTTCATTTTAGAGTTTTTATTGGCATGGATATATTTCCATTGTTTAGAGAAGATAAAGATCTTTTGTATGCTTATTTAACAATTGTTTAATAGACTAGTGTACTTATTTCTTATACCTGAGTTTCACGAAGATACTGTGGAAAAAGTAAAAAGCCACAAAAGACAAACTGTAATAAATGAACATAATGATGCAAAGGACATAATCTTATTTGGAAAACTTGTAGTTGATTTGAGTTTGTGTTCTAAAAAGAAACATAAGTACAAAAAATTAGACGATTATAAACCTTATAAGGGAAGAAGATTGTTCTTTGGTGTTATGACAAACGTATCCTCAGTAAATATGTAGATCAAGTATTTCAAAAGTGTGGAGGGAAAAGATACCTCTCAGATGTGCAACTTGCATATTATTTCCAGAAACAAATATATTCCCTACAGATACCATATGACTAGAAAGACCATTGGAATATGCAATATGAAAAAAGTTATTAAATGCCCAATTTGGTCACCTAAGGCCTTATTAAAATACAGCTTAAGCTTGATTGGTTAAGGTGTTGAGGATTGCCCAAAGTTGTTGGAAGCAGGAACGATAACGTAGGATCGACCTATGGCTGACGCTCCTTGGAGGTGTTGTTTAGGGAGTGGCCTGATAATTTAGTATTTGTATGGCTTTTGTTAGAGCAAAATGGTGGACCGGGATTCATATAGCCGACCCCAATTAGTCGAGAAAAAGCTCTAACGATGATGGTGATGCATACCAGGATTTGTGTAACCGACCCAAATTAGTTGGGGAAAGGCTCTGACAATCATCATCTTCGTCATAGCCTTTTCCCAACTACGTGGGATCGGCTTCACGAATCATGGTCTGCCATTCTGCTCTATTAAGGGCCATACCCATAATGAGGCCATAAGTCCCCATATCTTTTCTCACTACTTCCAACCATATCTTTTTGGGCCTACCCCTTTCTTTTCTTTAGCCTTCCAAAACACCAAGGGGCAATCAAAATGATTTCACTAGACATACTAAGGTTAACTAAATGGTAGAAAAAAAATTTGTATTCTAGTCAAAGTGAAGTAGCTTAAAGAGTTAATTACCCAGGAAAAACGAGTAGAAGCTTTACAGGGTAAAACAATACCTGCAGCATGCCTGCACCTGATAAGGCCATTAGGATACTACTCAAACCCAAACCCTACATGCACAATGACATAAGAAGAACGGAGTTTCCTTTAGGAATTTCAAAACACCAACATGAGAGAGAAAGAACCAAAGGCGGAGGGAGGAAGGAGGGGTGGGGGGGGGGGGGGGGAGGAGAGAGAGAGAGAGAGAGAGTTAATCTCACCTTCAGCAACATTAGAAATAAAGGCGGAGCACAAAGCAGCACATTCATCTTAATTGACACAGCTGCACTACAAGCAAAAATAGAACTAAAATTAGTATTCGTTATACAGTTATAGCATTTGGCCAAAGGATTAGTACACACCTGAAAATGATCATAGCCAAATGCCATCTTCGATACAAAAGCAATGCAATTGCAGCATGTAGAAGGGTCATTGCAAAACAATCATTGAAGAGGCGTAGCACAAATATGGAATGTATTCTTCTCGATAAACATAGCAGGCACAAGGCCCACCAGGGAAGCTGTAAGAACATGCAAATCAAACAAAACTAAATCAGGTAAAAAGAGCAAACTAATGGACAATCAAACTGGACAATACATAGTAATAAAAGACATGTAGCAAATGGCAAGGAGCCAGCCCAGGTTCATACAAGGCGTTGAGACCCCACCTAGAGCCAGCTGTTCTTGACAATAAGACATAACCCCATCCAGCTTCTAATGCTAGAGCTAAATAAAATGCATGCAGTATTCCTCTAAGTCCAGCGAAGTTGACAATGATTCAACCAAGAAGCACAAAATATTGAATGTCTGAATTTCTCTTAAGATGTCTAATGCAAATTGTCTTACCACATTGGTCTTATTGTATATCAAGAAGATCATAGCCAAATTTGTGATGTATAAAACACCGAAGAGAATCTGCCATAACACAATACAAATAATTCAAAACTGGTAAGAAAGGTGAACCTAGACAACAAAAGATTAAGTGAAGGGATCTTTATGTTTCCTTCCATGCTTATATATAACGCAACCAATATAGAGATTCCAAGCACCATCCCTGAAATGCTCGCAGCAAGCTTGTAGTGTAGGAGAAGATATATTCTAGAAGCTGAAGTAGAAAGCAATGAAGTATGGATTCAAAGGTTTCATGAATATCTTCTTTCATGCATCAGATCTTATCACAACAAAACAGAATTTCCCATGGAATCATTTCAAAACTAAAGAGAAGTTATAATAATGTGTTTTTGAGGATGTCACGTATACAAAACAGTCACAGAACTCCTTTTTTTTTCTCGTCTTTGTTTTTTTGGGTTAGGAGTAACACCCATATAAAGAGATACTGAAGGAATGTTCTTTGTTTGTTTTATTGGTAACTGAATGCCAGTACACAATGCACAATAATACATGCCATTCCCACAGTACAGTGTATACCTGACCATTCTTAGAAAACGGTCACAAGCAAGTCATGCTTAGTCATCCCTTTCTAGCTAGTGCATCCCATAGTTACTGGGATCTCCTCCCTTGCCTAGCGATCCCTTTCAGAACCTCGATTCTCTCGATCCTGGAACGGATCTCGTCTGAAACTCAATTTGGTGTTTTCGGGATCTCGCTCCATCTTATAAGGGAACGAGTTCCTAAATAATGGAATACAAGCATCGCCATTTATGGCATCCAGATCCCACCAATATGGGATCATTTTAAAGTTCCTTATTTATTTCTTAGAAGGACTAAGCCTACACGTTATTGGTTAACAAGATGGGGAGCAACATTTTAAAGTCACGGATCCTTATAAACTACATGAGGAACTCGTGTTCTAAGAAAATGGAGCTTGCTCCTATAAAAGTTATTCCTCGCTCCATAATATTTTGGATCACTTTTAGTAATGCGCTCCTGAGTTAAGAAACTCAAAAAAATTCCCTTGGAAACTTCGCTTCTTATGTATAGGATCTCGTACCTTCATATAATAATTCTCGATCCTATGTAATAAAGGAGCTCGATCTCCAACACACAAAACCTCGATCCTGACCTTTGAGGCTGTACGGGCATCAATCCCTAACACAGGGATCTTCAGTATAGCTTTGATCCTCCAATCCCGCCCCCAATCCCATAATTGTTCCCGTACCCAACAACTATGGTTCATCCTGCCAATTCATTGGTCCCTCTCCGTACATGAAGAATGACCATCCTTATCTTCCTAGTGACAGTCCAAATTTCTTCAAAAACTGAACGTAGGTGCCAGGGAGAACTTGGAGCCATTATCCCAAGCAACACCATTACTAGAGTCACCCTCTATAGGATACCAGTCCACTTCTCTCTAGGCAACATGGATATGGCGATTTCCTTCTACTGAATCAGTGTAATCCCAATACCCAACCCTAGACCTTGTTCATGAGATTATTGTGGCCCTTATATATTCTTTGACACCAACTAAACCTGCGTCTTACTATTGAATGGCATCTTACTAAATATAACAACCATAGAACAGCCAAGAGAGTCAGCCTCATAAGATATACCAGGTTAGGTAGAGGGGGAGTAGACTATTTCTCTCAAAGGGCATTGACAGAGAGAGGTTCAACCAAGATAATATCAAATATCCAAGGAAAACAGACCAAACTTGTGCTACGAAGTGTAAAAGTGACGGAGGAAAAAATTATACTTATTTTTAATTTCTATTCAATTTTAAAAGATGTATATTTTGATTTTAGTTTTAGCGTTTAGTTCTAGGGTTTTTTTAATTTCTAAGAATTCTAGGGACTTTTGAGATATTTTAATTAAAGTTAGGGAGTTTAGTTTCAAGCTATATTAAGTTAGGACCTTTTGGTCGAAAGTTAAAATTGTATGGACAAATATTGTACAAAACAATACTTTTTCAATATAAATAAGAACATGAATAAGCTGGATGTATTCCTCTTTAAGAAAAGAAAGAACTTTGTTTTATAACAGAAGCCTAAGGCTTGAGCCCTAGGTGGGAAAAAACTTTAGGTTTTCTCCAAAATTGATTGTGTTTGGCTTGTTTCTTGCTAATTTTATTGTTTCTTCAATTTCTTCTACATCAAGTGGTATCAGAGCCCGCGATCTACACGGAAGTTACTGAAGCAAGTATGGAAGTTAGTGCCCTAAGCAACAACAAAGAGAGGAAATTATAATAGGGTCTCGGATTTGCTCATTTTGACCAAATTTTTCTCAACAATTTTTGTTGATTATAAATGCCTAGGGTTTGTAATTTCGGCGAATCCATAGTAACAAGAAATAGAAGGGGGATTTTCGTAGATTTACTTCGTGATCTTATAAAATGACAGAATTGAGGAACTTGAAAGGTAGGTACAGCAGCTGGCACAGCAGTTCGTGAGCCTCAATAATGGGCAAAATGGTGATCTTTCAATCCAAGAGGATCTCGAGCACATGCCTTTTCACTTTTGGGCTCTGTGTGGGGAGTCAAGTGATGAGGATAGTAATAGAAGACCTAGATGTGGGGAACATCACTCTAGGGTTTTCTATTTGAAGGATGAGATTTTTTATTTTGACATAGATTGCATGGGAAGTCAGCAAATTGTAGATTGGGGATTCACCACTAATCTTCAATATACACTTAGATAAACAACAAGATTTCTTAGAAGATCCAATCTATGAAAAGGATCAAAATGATAGTGAATATATTTTGGAAGAGGGTGAAGAACATGGAAAGAAGATAACAGGAGCACGGATCCAAATCATGGCCTTTGAAGATGTCATTAATATTGAAGAGATAGAGCATTGAAGAAATTCTGGGTATTGGAATCAGAGCAATGCAGTGGAAGCATGGTCGATTCCGAAGCTGCAAATTGTGGCCCTAACTCGTCAATATGCATATCAAGATCCGTTTCTTGAGAAACTTTTTTTTACCAAGAATAATCTTTGAACCAACAAAGAAAAAGAAGATGAAGAAAGTGGTTTTGACGCTGAACTCATCTTAGAACACTTCAAAACTCGAAGACAAGTTTTCTCCAACAAAGGGAGAATGATGGAGGAAAAAATTATACTTATGTTTAATTTCTATTCACTTTTAAAGGATGTATATTTTGATTTTAGTTTTAGGGTTTTTTTAGTTTCTAGGAATTCTAGGGACGTTTTAGATATTTTAATTAAAGTTAGGGAGTTTAGTTTCAAGTTATATTTAAGTTAGGATCTTTTGGTCAAAAGTTAAAATTGTATGGACAAATATTGTCCAAAACAATACTTTTTCAATATAAATAAGGGCATGCATGGGCTGGAGAGTCATTCATGTATTCCTCTTTAAAAAAATAAAGACTATGTCTTGTAACAGAAGCCTAACGCTTGAGACCTAGGTGGGAAGCCTTAGGGTTTCTCCAAAATTGCTTGTGTTTGGCTTGCTTCTTACTACTTTTATTGTTCCCTCAATTTCTCCTACATCAAGAAGTACATGACTTAATGTTTATGCATCTGATTTACAAAGCACGCACATGTTTGTGATATTTCTTGACTGTGAGCACCCTCTCCAGAACAGCTAGCCAGGCAAAAGCATGAATCTCATGGGGTCCAGAAGCTGACCAAACTTTGCTAGTGGCCGAGTTTGCCTGGCCACTCCATGTCATGATGTTGTACATGGACATAATAAAGAACTCTCCTCTGCTTCCTGGAACCCAAATCAATCTATCTTTGTTTCAAGGTGAGAAAAAAGGAAACCTTAAGCTTGGCTGGCAATTTCTCCAAAGCCTCCTCTTCCTCTTCCAATGCCTCCTCAAAAATGGGATCCATACATTCTATGGCCAGAACCTTCTGCTCTGCTACCTAGCACAACTTTATTTCCTGCTTCAGAATCAAAGCAGATAGTTTTGGATAGGAGACTTTGAGTGTTTGTGACCCTAGCCAGTGGTCTACCCAGAAGCGAGTGCTCCTGCCATTGCCCAATGGCATACTTGCATGGATAATGACCGGAGGGAGGCATCTGTTCAACATATGCCAAACCTCTAAGAGCTCCTAGTTGCAATGGTAAGCTTTCACTAGCCTTGCTGTGTCGTCTCACAATATTTTGCCCTGGCAACCTCCATCTACAAGAAGGAAGATTGAGTTAAATATCGCCACCACCACTAAATCAATTTAATAGTGCCTGGTTCATATCTTATGGTCCTCACAATATTTTGCCCTGGCAACCTCCATCTACAAGAAGGAAGATTGAGTTAAATATCGCCACCACCACTAAATCAATTCAATAGTGCCTGGTTCATATCTTATGGTCCTAAACCTTTGCTTTGGGTTTGCACACGTCTGCCCATCTGACTGAGTTATACCTCCCTTCCTCAGTAGAACTGCCCCACAGAAAATTCCTCATCAAACTCTCATTTTGGTTCCCACAGATGCTGGAATGGCAAAAAATGACATATAATAGAAAGCGAGTTGAATAAAATGCATTTATAAATGTGATCCTTCCACCCAAAGATAAGAATGTTGCCTATTTCAGTTATCAAACTTGACCTAAGTCAAGTTTCAGTTGATACATGTCCAGCACCTCCCTCCACAACACTCTTCTTGGTTTACCCAGGCACAGAGGTAAGCCCAGGTATGAACTACCATAAGAATTTGATGGGTGACCTGTCAATTTCACAACCCGCGCACTTGCCAAGCTCTTGCAGTGATCTATCAGAGACCGAGATACCCTTCAGTTTCATTTTTGTCAATGTTGATTTTAAAACCAAGCATACCTCACAGCAATGTACAAACTACCATAAGTTTTACATCTGTTCCTTTGTAGCACCACACAGAATTAGACTGTCATCACCATACTGTTGAGTGGGATATTGATGAAGCCCCTCTCAGAGACCTGAATTCCTGATAACAGCTTTGCCTCATAACTCCTTGAAGCATATGGCTAAAGACCTCAACAACCACAGAAGGTACTTCCATGAAGTTAGAGCAGTGGTGATATAAAGTCCTGTAAACCCAAACCAGTCCTTTTTACGCCCATAGAGCTACATTAACCGCCACCATGCTTTTCTCATGGTAATACCAGTACTATAAAATTGATGAAAGTTGGAAAAAGTATCAACATTTCCTACAAAAGTTTCCCAAATCTCTGGGACATTTCGTCTCCTTCCTAGGCTATTCCTTTAGTCACGTATAACAGTTTTAGAAAAGAAATTGCCAGTTATGAGTGCCAGAGATAAATCATTTGAAAAACTTGGAAAATTCCTTTCAGCGTACCATGTATGATGGTCATTAAATGTCAGGTGTCTACAAAAAAGAAAAACATAATAGCTTTTCCTGTTTAATATTTCCTTGACTAAAAGTCTCTCATTTATTTGTTTATACTCTTCAACTTGTAAACTACGTCCAGCTCTACACGGCCATTTTCATGTGTCCACTTCAAAATTCATCTTTAACTGGTTCTCATATACTTAGATGCCCTGTCTCTTCTGAGAACATGCACACTTTCTTTATTAACTGAATCAAACTCTACGCTAGTCTAGGTGAAATCTTAGAAGAATGACTAATGACAAATTACAAAAAAAGGAAAAAGAAAGAATTTCAATACAGTGAAGCAAAAGTATAACTGATGTTTCCATTAGAGGATCATGTAGCAACAGAATGATCCGAATGAACATGCACACTTCAAGGAACATAATGACCCGAAAAACCAATATTACATGACCCACTTGGAAGCCGCATATATACACATAAAGCTATGGCACGAATCAACAAAAACACTGATAATTGACTGAATACACAAACCCAATTGTATCCTTTACACCATTAATATCAATAAAAAAATAAGAAATAAAAAACCACTATGGGGTGGCTCTCCAACCAACCTCAATGAGATATAAAGCAAATGGAGGGAAAAAAAAAGAAACTACTTACCCTTTCTGATCGATGATAGAAACAGACGATAAAAAGAAAACCATACAGAAACTAAAATTTAATGCATACATTGATGAAAAACAAATTCCAATGAGAACACTGGTTTGGGAGCTAACCTGAGCAGGGAATACCTCTCCCCCTGTAACAAATTGAACAGCAGAGTACACATATAGAAATCCTGCAGGATAAACTAAAGGGCCTGTGTCTCCCTTCAAATTCCTATAATCTCTTTCACCTGCAAGAAAACCACTTACCTGTCGTTTCTTTCTATGTTAACCATTGCCCATATTAAATCTTAAATAAACCCATAGAGAGAAAGAGAGACATGGTATTCGTTGATTTGTACCTGAGACATATATGCATCCCAATCTATCTTCGTATCTAGTTTCATCAAAATCAAACAGAACAGTGTCAAGATCAATTGCTGGAATGAAAATAGAAGTCATAAAAAGTGCAAATATTAATCGCTAGAATGAAGATAAAATTTACAGAGAAGGAAAGGATTATTACATGGGACATAAGCGATGATGAGAGAGAGTAAAAGAGATTCAAACCCCAATAACACACATGAAACCACAACTTTTCTTGATTTGAAGCAACCGGGATTTGCAGGCAGAGTTCGGGTTTCCTGTTTCACAAATCGTCGTGCTGCTGCTTCTCCCATGGCAGCTGTTACCCTTAGTTTCGATACACAGTGATTCAACAACAGTACTCCATGAAAAAATTACAGAGGGCTAGTGACGCAGTTAACCTCACCATCTTTGAAATTTATGGAGTTTATAGAAGACCTTGGAAAGTTAATCGGAGATGTATAAATAACCAAAAGATATTTTACTCCCGCGGGAGCAGAATGTCCATTTATTCCCTCCGTTAGAACCTCACTTAAGGCGTGTTTGTTTTTCTCAACATATTATTTGAGGTTTTGAAAAAGTTTAGTCGTTTATTTCACACTTTTCATCTGAAGTTTGGATACTAATCTTTCAAAAAAAGTTCTCATTCTTTTGTTAAAAAATGAAATAATAAATTCCCAATGGGGTAAGAACTTAATCTTAAATAACTTTTTTTGTTGATCATTATTCACTACGCATAATATGAAAGAAAAAGTTTATATAAGGTTGCGACCTTGAAATGTATAATTAAAGGTGCATCTCAAAAATCCATCATAAAAAGATGTTTTGATGTTGGAATTGATATCGAAATATATGAATACGAAAAAAAAAAATCGAGCCCGATAAATAGTGTATTTTGCAACACATTATCTGGACCGTCTATTTCAAGATTTTTATGTGTTCATATATCTACTTGATTTGAACCATTTTTTAGAGTTTAAAATTTTATAATTACTATTAGAGATGAAAATAAAATCTTAAGCCATCCTAAAAAAAATTTATACTAAAATTACATTTATGATGAAATTTGCGGTGCTCCTTAATGGATTATTTAAGGTTACAACCTCATTGAAACCACACCCTAATAAAAATACATAATATTAGTATTATTAATATGATATAATATAATATAATATTACTATAATATAATATATTTATTTTATTAATATGATTTATAATATATCGTATATATTGATTATATATTATATGTAATATATAACATTATTATATTTTTATATTATGAGTAATGATCATATGAGACCCTCCCAAGCCCATGTATGTAGGAACCCAAAGGATCACCATTAATATATATTTATATTCACATGGGTGTGGAAGGGTCTCATAATGTCATTTCTCTTATAAATGTATTATAATATATATATATATATATATATATATATATATATATAAGTAAGTAATACGTACGTAGTAGTAGACTACCTACCACCACCTACGTGTAGTAGGTACGTACGTAACGTAACGTAC